GAAAAAAATGTTATGTGCTCATAATCTCTTTTACACTTTCACTAATTTACCCGAATTAAAAGTATGCTTTGACCAGAATTTATGGTCCATCCTACCAAAGTACCAAACCAATTCTTGGTTTCCAAGCCAGACCCTTATGTTCCTTTTGGATCATGGGCTCGCACATGAGTCGTCAGCCCATTAATTAACCACGATCCAATCTTTTTGGATCCTTATGACCCAAAGCTTTTAAACGAAAGGGGAAATAGTTGTGTGGGGTGGGTGCACATTCCTTAAATGAATTTCACTGTTTTGCTGTTTGAACGTAAAATAAGAATAATTAAATAAAAAAATTTTAATATTAAAAAGTTCACTTTAATTAGTAGAGTAAATTATGTAGTCTAAGATAATTTAAATTACACAATGCAATTTTTATCCCCAAAACACATAAAAGTATTTTCGACAATTAACGGTGGATGTGAAAGGTCAAAAATAAACATCACATGAAATAGAAGAAGAGAAAACTGTCTGGTTGGTCGTTTTGTTGTGTGAAGCTGTTAGTCAGTAAAAAATGAGAGGTGACCAAAGTATGTAAAGCTTCCCAGTCATCAGCTAAGTATCAGGAACTAGAGGTTGGATCGGCCATGCTGGAAGGGAAGCTGTCACTATTCATTATTCACATAAGCTCCTGATTATTTGATTGAAAAAAAAGATATTAACATGTTTGGTGCAGCTTGCAAAAGAAGCTTCACAAGTTTAAAAGCACAAGTTGTAGGCCCACTTTAAGAATTGCTTTTCAAAAGCTGCAAAATGTTGCACTTGGAGATTTTAGCATAAAAGAAATCGAGAAGCACCAAATTATCGCTCCTATTGAGAGCTTCTTATAAGTAAAATTTCTACAACAGATTCTTTTAAACAAAACTTTTATCAATAACTCTAATCACACCGGGCAAGTTCTTAAACTTCATAGCATCTGCTCTGCCCAGAACCATCCTCAGTGCTAAGACTTCATCAACTAAAACAAATAAAACTCTGCTTGAAACTTGCCCCATCAATCAATGCCACACTTGAATCCTTCACAATAAATTAACGTTACTCCAATGGTTTGGTAACTAATTCATTTTCTAGCATATGATATATGACCTAACAAATTCATAAGTAACTTTAAATCACTTTCTACAAAGCACATTAATCAAAGTTTTCATGTATTTTAAAATTAATTTCTTAGAGCACAATTTTAAAGGTACACCCCATATATCAATCTAATATATTCAAAGAAATTAATTTCTTGGATGTTGGGCTCAAGACTTGAACCCTAAATTTGACCTATAAGATAATATTTATTTATTAATAAATCCAATCTTTAAGGTCAATATTATGCCTATTACTCAATCGTAATTAAACTAATTACAAACGATGAATTATATCTCGTCTGACAGTTTTTAAGAAACATGGTTCAAATACTTGTTAAGAAATAATCTTTACAAATCTTAAAAAATTCTAAGTGCATTAAATATATGTAATATGCTTCAAATATGCAAAAGATCTACTTACACATAATGATGGGAACTATTTAGTAAAACTAAGGCTACATAACTACCGTTTGCTGTAGTTGTAGTTTTTATTTTTTAGTAAAACTTGGAGCATATTGCTAGAAGTTATGGAAATTCTATTATTCATGATGTAGGGATACCCTTCCAAGCTAAACTAGCTAGTGTTATAAATGGTAGATTTTGGAATTGCCTTCCTACTAGACTTCCCCCGCTATTGGAAATCTAAATACCTCATTTTAATATTCATCCTAGGAAAGGTGAAATTGATTCAATTATTTGGGTGATCTCCCCTTTTGGATCTTTTAAAATTGGTCAGACTTGGCATTGGTTGAGAAATAAATAGTCCAAGAAGGTATGACATAAACTTGGTTTCCTTATGCCATCTCTAAATACAACTTCATAGGTTGGCTACCCATACTTAACAGAATGACTACAAAAGCTAGACAGAAGCAATGGACCCCTACTATCTCAAATACTTATATCTTATGCATCAATGGTTCAGAAACATCTGAGCACTTATCTTTTAAGTGTAGTTATGCTAACAGAATACGGAGGCAGATTAGTACTATGATCAATATTCCTTTCGTGGACTCTTGGCAAGATTTACTGCATTGGATGGGGAAAAGGATCAAAAGAAAATCCTTGCTTAGTATTTTGCTCAAACTCTCATGGAATGCCATAATCTACAACATTTGGATGGAAATAAATAAAAGAGTTCATCTACAGCTCTTTAGAAGTGAGAGTACAATCCTTCATGAGGTTCAGTTTTAGGTTAGAGCTAGAATGCTGGAGTTTGCCCACCCAAGGTCTTCATCACTTCCCATGGCTATTGCAATTCGGTGGGAACTTGAAATAGTTGTGATATATTAATTTTCAATGCAACAATAGAATATGTGTACTAGCTACATGTGCATTTTTCAGTCTCTTTTCTCTGGTAACAGCTACTATGTTGCTTTATGATATTCACAAGTATTTTTGGATAAATAAATTTACCTTTTATCCCAAAAAAAAAAAAAAAAGAATTGAAAGGAAGGGAGGGAAAAAGAAGTACCTTATTTTAATTTTTTTAGATTCATTTACAAGTCTGAATAAGAAGAGAGGAGGAGAGAGAAGAAAAAATATATATATTACATCATTTCATTTTTTACCTCTCCCCTTCTTCCTTTTTTTTAAAACTAAACACATTTCAAAAGAAAAACTTTGCTAAATGCAAATATTTGAAAATTCCTTAAAATTTGTTCGTGTAATATAACTAATCAACAGCCTGTGCTGCTGCCGCCGCCGCCACC